ATTATGGGTAAATATCTCTACTTTGATCTCATCTGTACAAAGGATTGAATTATTGTTGTTTATTCAGATGAAACTTCATAAACTCTTGTCATGTTCTTTTTAGAGAAGAGTTGTTTTACTGCGACCCTTCCAAACTAACTATACTTGTCCAGTCAACTTTAGCCTAATAACTGAGGCTTGCCGAGTCTGAGATGGATCTCGTGGTGCTTTTGTCATTTCTCTAAGCATCACGTGAACTTGGGATGAGTTTGCTGGAACGTCTGCTCCCACAAAGACTGGCAGCTGTCTTAAACGTTTCCCACTTGAAAGATATCTCTCTCCGTGTAGAATAACAGACTCCAGTTTGTTTGGAAATTACCTTTAAACCTTCTCAGATTGATGGCCAGCAACTGTTGCTTCTGTCGTAGAAAAAAAAAAATGGGTTCACAAATGATCAGGTGTAGACTGTTTGGTCCACTGTAGGCGTGTACTGCCTGGTGGGGAAAACAGTTTGTTTGTGACTTCTCAGACTGATGAAGCCCTTTGGATGGAGGGCGAAACGTCTCTCAACAAAAAAGGAACTATCCAGATGACCTGACTGAACATGGTTGGATTTTGTTACCTGGATTATTGAGCATGAACTTTGATGAGATCAGGTGTAGATTTCATCTAATTTATTACAAAGCTTTGGATAACAGCCAGACCCACAGAGTCCATACGTTACAGAACTTATTCATGTCTTGTCCTTTCTGAATTTCTGACCTGTTCTGGCTTCCTGAAGCAAAGTTGTTGGTTTTTAGGAACCTCCTGATTACAGTTTCGACAGTTCCCCTTTGCCCTGCCGAGCCACTATCACATCAGCTGCAGTCAGTCATGGAAAACGAACACATCTCAAGGATTTGTGGCAAACGAATATAATTGAAATAAAGGGATGACAAACCATGAACTCTTTGCTGTCTTCTTACAGTTACATGAAAAATGAGAAAACTGTAATATCATTCTGACAATTTCTATTCATATAAAGGTTATTAATATGGTAAAGTAATATTGAACAAATCAGGAAGCACATCAATAAAAGTCATATATTCCCTTCATATTTTAAGATATCTTCAAGACCTGATGATTTTCAATGTAAAAATTTTGAATAGAAACTAGAGGCATGCCGAGTTAAAAATAATCTTAAATCTTAACCCATGTGAAGTCCTGGGTGGGTGTCTTTAAATAAATTAGTAAATGGAGTTTTGTATTGTTTTTATTGCAGAACTAGTTCTTAGTCTTGCAGTTGTTGTAAGCTGCAGGGTTCTGTTTTAAAGAGTCAGGACTGAGATAAATAAATAACATTTGCAAATATAACTGAGTGTAACAGTGTTTCCTCTTCTGCTCATGCTCTACTGCAACCTTCCCCTGGGCTGGTGTTTCTGCCGTGAACTGATTCAGAGTTCAGTGGACATGTTCAAGCCTCATTCGGTCAGAGAATTCATCTGAACCCTCGTGAAATAAGCCGACCACAGGACAGTCTTTGTCCATCCAGCAGCCAGAACCAAGCAAATCATAGTCATTTTGGAGCTCTGCTTTTAGATGACACGGTGGCTAGTTTACTACTGTACTTGCCGTCGTACACGTCGCACCGCCGTATAAGTCGCATCAGTCCAAATTTGTCTAATAAAGTAGAAAAAACATAAATACATCACTTTGCCGTATAAGTCACATCTATTATGCTTCACCACTGACAACCCAGAAACGTGGGCCGGGGTTGTGCCAAAAATTGATTGGCCGGGAGCGTGCACAAGAGGACTTTAACAAGAATTTAACAAGATTAACACTTGAAAACAATTTTTTGTTTGCTTGACATTATAGTAAAGGTGTGTCTCAGTCTAACTTTTCCTTAATAAATGCACTTTAATGGTCAAATCAGCTGCATTTCAATAACCATCTAAAAATAATTGTTTGCTCAACATTATAGTAAAGTTGTGTCTCAGTTGAACATTTCCTTAATGAATGCACTTCGACGGTCAATTCAGCTGCATTTCGCCTGGGTGGTGCGGTGAAATGCAGCTGATTTGACATTTGCTCCAGGAGTTCCGGAGTGAGTCGAAGGTGGCTTGGTATGGTAAGCCAAGTGTCTCATTTATAGCCACTTTTACCTATTAATGAGACATTTGGCTTGCCATAATGTTCAAGGGCCCTCTAGTTGCTGAAAATGGTAGTGTTCAATATTTTCCATGTCAGATTGAATGAAATCGTCAGATCTCAGCAAAAAATTTGATTAAAAATATGGGGAAAAATACATATATTAGTCGCTTTGCTATTTAAGTTGCAGGACTTGCAAATTTATGCAAAAAAGGTGCGACTTATACAGTGAAATATGGTAATCCTCGAGTCAGGGAAGCCTTTGACAGGAACAGAACAACTTCCCCTATCTATAATACTCTGAATATTTTAAAAAGCAGAATGTTCTGCTCTGTTTGCACTTTTTGTTCACACAGACTAGATTTGTTGAGAAAAATGGAGATCTTAAAATTTACTTTGCAGCATTTATGTTCAAATATAAAGCTTTTTTTCATTAATGGATGAAGTTGGTTTAAAACACATTAATGGAGTCATTTAGAAAAAGTCTGAAAACCTACTGCCTCCTGTGTTTTGAAGAAGTTTTAAAACTTAAGAGTGAGAGGAAATTTAGACTATTTTTTTCTGCCAATCTTTCTCCTTTAATGAGATGTTTTTTTAATTTGAATTTATGCAAGTTCCATCAGTTTTTTTTTTTTTTTTCATAGTAGGTACCTACTTATCATTGGTAACTTTAGTCTTAGAGCTAGGAATACGGTAATAAGGAAAAGAGAAAAAGTCGTTATTCAAGCTAGGCTAATGACTAGCCAACAAGCGCTCATTGTTCATTTTTCGGGCTTATAAAACAACTTTTGCAGCATCAGCACTATTGGCACATAACAGCGCACATAGGTTTTGTCATAACTGCAATACTGTTTAGTTAAGAAAAGTAAAACTAAACAAACGTCATGCGAAGATTTAATGGTTTGTTATACACTAATGTAGCATTCTGTCACACCGCTATGCCATTTTTGAGAAATAATTGCTTTAAGAGCCTGAAGAAAAGTTATAAAAACCCTGCCCTTGTTTACCTTGCCATTAGTCATAACTATATTAGCATTGGGATGAAAATGGAGGATCGTTTGATCTGGACCAATACGCATCCTCAATTCTGGGTTACATTAGTACATGTACTGACACAGTCTCCACCATCAGATATGTTAAAAGCTACCCAAACATAAAACCTTGGCTAAATGCAGAGGTGTGCACCCTGCTGAAAGCCAGGGACACTGCCTTCAGTTCTGGAAGCTCAGAGGAGCTGAGTAGGACAAGGAAAGAGCTGGTTGCTGGTATTAAGAAGGCCAAGGCCACATATGCACAGAGGATCCAGGGTCAGTTCACCTCACAAGACCCTTGGAGCATGTGGAGGGGCATTAAATGCGTAACAGATTATAAAGGAAGGAGTGAACAATGCCCCAAAGACCCATCTCTGCCTGATTTTTTTTTCATTCAACCTTTATTTAGACAGGTAAATCCCATTGAGCCTTGTTTATTTCAACAAATAATGATGACCACAATGGACAACGGCAACAACAATAGACAGTTATAAAAAAGCATACAGATTTTTTTTTTCTGATGCCCTCAACAAGTTCTTTGCATGCTTTGAAGACCAGAACAGACCACCCAGCACCAGACTCACCTCACCACCAGATGAAGAGCATCTCAGCGTGACCCCAGCAGAAGTAAGGAGTACTTTCAGGAGGATTAATCCGCACAAGGCAACAGGCCCAGACAACATCCCCGGAAAAGTGTTTAAAGAATGTGCCGATCAGCTCTGCGAGGTGCTGGCAGACATCTTTAACACCTCACTTACCCTGGAGACAGTTCCCACCTGCCTGAAGACTGCCACCATCATCCCAGTCCCAAAAAGCTCTACAGTGACTGGTCTGAATGACCCTCACCCCAATAGTCTCTAAATGCTTCGAAAAAATGGTCATGACCCACATCAAAACAACCATCAACATCAACAAGGACCCTCATCAGTATGCATATCGCAAGAACTGATCAACAGAGGATGCCATCTCCTCTGTGGTCCACACTGCGCTCAACCACCAGGAGAAGAAAAACTTTTACGTCCGTATGCTCTTTGTGGATTTCACATCCGCCTTCAACACCATGATCCCCCAAACTATTCATACTAGGACTAAGCCCCTCCATTTGCAATTGGGTACTAGACTTTTTAACAAACAGACTGCAGTCAGTGAGGAGCCACAACTTATCCTCATTGACCATAACCTTCAGCACTGGCTCTCCTCAGAGATGTGTGTTGAGCCCCCTCCTGTTTACTCTGCTCACGTATGATTGTGCAGCTACCCATCCAGGCTGTCATATTGTAAAGTTTGCAGATGATACAGCGGTGGTGGGATGCATCAAAAACAATGATGAGTCCAGCTACAGACAAGAGGTGGAACACCTGGAGAGTTGGTGCAAAGAGAATAACCTTCACATCAACGTGAAGAAGACAGAGGAGATGATTGTGGACTTCAGAAGGAACAAAAACACCTACACCCCCCTGAACATAAGAGGATCTGTGGTGGAAGTGGTCTCTAGCTACAAGTACTTGGGTGTACACATGATTGACAACCTCAGCTGGAGCAACAACACCACCAGCCTGATCAAGAAAGCTCATCAGAGACTCTACTTCCTCAGACGGCTGAGGCGAGCTGGTCTGGGAAACTCTGTCCTCACCTCCTTCTACAGGTGTGCAGTGGAGAGCATCCCTGTGTACATAATTTTGCTCCACCACATGTACCACATGAGGTGCGAATGACAATAAAGAATCTCTGACTCTCTTATGATTTTATAAACATCTAGTTTTGCCGTAAAATAATTTTAGTTTAGAATTTTTCGGACCTCGACCCAGAAATATTGAGTTGTTGTAATTTAATGGTTGTTGTCTTTGTTGTCATTTTCAGTCATGGAGGATCCTGTTGTTCGGAGCTCTAAACCTGCTGTGTACCGGCTGTCTGCTTATGTGGTGCAGCTCCACCAACAGCATGGGTGAGTTGACACACGCACGCACGCACGCACACACACACACACACACACACACACACACAGAGTAAACCAAACTGACATCCACAGACTGACAGAAACACACACACAGCCTCAGACGTTAACAGGCACAGATTCCCTCCACACACAGTAAACACTGACTGACAGTTGCACACATTTATACAGCTTTGTGCGTGCGTGTGAGCGCTCTGCAGCTGTAAACACACTGTGAAGGAGTCTAAGGAGGTGTATATGTTGTGTCGTCTCACCTCAGGAGGTTTGGACTGATCATACTGCTTCTCAGTGTGGGAGTTTTGTGTTTTCAGGGATTGAGGGCTAACCTCAGTCAAAATGTGCTGCTTTAAAGGGCACACTGAGGTGTCCTTCACAGCAGCTGTTTCTACCCTCAGGTGTTACCATATGGAGAGCACATCTGTCTTGTTGACAGTCACCAACAAACTTCCTGGAACACAGGCTCAGCAGCAGAACAGGTCTTAGTCAAGCTAGGTGGATATAAAGATGTTAATGATGTAAAAAAGAAAAATTCAATCCAGGATTAGTCCAAAACTTTTTCAGCTTTTTGCAAACTCAACTGAAAAAGTAATCTGTTTTGGGGGAAAATATATTTTTCTTCTTTTGGCTGTTTCCTCTTCAGTAGTTGCCACAGCGAGTCATCCACCTCTGCATCCTCTGTCCTCAATCCCAACACCTACATGTCTTCTCTAACTGCATCCATATATCTTCTCTTTGTCTTTTGTTGTATGGGAATTTTATAAAATGCTATAATCTGGTTGCATATGTGGGCTCATCCTAAAACTTTTGTTTAAGCAACCTCTTGATTTAATTGAAGCCGTAGGTCACACCTAGACTTTTTAATATTTGTCCACTTGGCTTCGCTAAAGTTCTTGAAGTTTGTCGGATTATGAAGGCATCTCTTGTGCACAGCTCTTGTCAAGTCACCCTATACATTTTCTTGTCAAATTTAGGTTTAGTCTGGCTTGGACATTTCAAAACTTCAGTTTCCTTCTGGCGAAGGTGTTCTTATTTGGTTTGGATGTATGCTCAGTGTCATTGTTATTTGGAAACATGACTTTTCTCTTCATCTTTGGTTTTAAATAGACACTTGAAGGTAAAACCAATTGTCTTCAGAAGTCATCAAATGTAGTTCACAGTTGTGTAATTTAATCTCAATGTAAATCCAGCTGTTTTGTAAAGGCCTCGGAACCATTAGAGAGAAAAACTCTGGTGATCAAACAGCAATATAAAGCTCAAGGATCACACTAGACAGCTATTGGGGGAAGAATCAGTTTTGTTGTGTTTCCTTAACTGATGAAGCCTTCCGGACCGAAGGCAAAACGTTTCAGCACAAAAAAAAAAAAAAGAAACTGTCCAGATGACCTGACTGAAAAATGTTGGATTGTATACCTGGATTATTGAGCATGGACTTTGTTATCACACCAGACAGTTTAGGAATAAAGTTATTGAAAGGTTTAAAACAACTTTAGGTTTTTAAAAAGTAACTCAAGCTTTGTTTAAAATCTTATCCTTAGCTATTATGCATATTATGCAGTCAAATTTGTCTGCCTTTTAGCAAAATTTCCCATCAGCCACTGGCTAGATTTTATTTAAACTTTCAGGAAGTGATCATTGGATATTTCCTGATGCATGCAATAATCCAGGAAGAAAAATCTAAAAAAGTTGTCAGGTCCTCTGGACAGATTCAAATAATAGATAAAAATTTTGTTGAAACATTTCACCTATAATCCAAAACACACTGACAAAGTCTTTTGGATTAAAGATGAAACGTTTCAACAAGTTGTTTTTTTTTTCTTTCTTTTAATCGGTCCAGAGGACCTGACAAATATTTAGATAATTGGATATACAGGTTCTCGTCATAAAATTAGAATATCATGAAAAGTTGATTTATTTCAGTAATTCCATTCAAAATTGAAACTTGTATATTATATTCATTCATTACACACAGACTGATATACAGTATTTCAAATGTTTATTACTTTTAATGTTGATGATTATAACTGGCAACTAATGTAAACCCCAAATTCAGTATCTCAGAAAATTAGAATATTGTGAAAAAGTTCAACATTGAAGACACCTGGTGCCACAGTCTAATCAGCTAATTAATTCAAAACACTTGCAAAGGCCTTTAAATGGTCTTAGTCTAGTTCTGTAGGCTACACAATCATGGGGAAACTGCTGACTTGACAGTTGTCCAAAAGATGACCATTGACACCTTACACAAGGAGGGCAAGACACAAAAGGTTATTGCTAAAGGGGCTGGCTGTTCACAGAGCTCTGTGTCCAAGCACATTAATAGAGAGGAGAAGGGGAGGAAAAGATGTGGTAGAAAAAAGTGTTCAAGCAATAGGGATAACCACACCCTGGAGATGATTATGAAATAAAACCTATTCCAAAATGTGGGGGAGATTCACAAAGCGTGGACTGCAGCTGGAGTCAGTGCTTCACGAACCACCATGCATGGCTGTACGCAAGACATGGGTTTCAGCTGTCACATTCCTTGTCAAGCCACTCTTGAACAAGAGACAATGCCAGAAGTGTCTCACCTGGGACTGCTGCTGAGTGGTCCAAAGTTATGTTCTCTAATGAAAGTAAATTTTGCATTTCCTTTGGAAATCAAGGTCCCAGAGTCTGGAGGAAGAGAGGAGAGGCACATAATCCACATTGCTTGAGGTCCAGTGTCAAGTTTCCACAGTCTGTGATGGTTTGGGGGGTCATGTCATCTGCATTGATGCAGCAATCCAGGCAAAAGGAGCCCCAACTAAGTATTGAGTGCTGTATATGCTCATACTTTTCATGTTCATACTTTCCAGTTGGCCAACATTTCTAAAAATACATTTTTAATTGGTCTTAAGTAATATGCTAATTTTCTGAAATACTGAATTTGGGGTTTTCTTTAGTTTCAGTTATAATCATCAACATTAAAAGAAATAAACATTTGAAATATATCAATCTGTGTGTAGTGAATGAATATAATATACAAGTTTCACATTTTGAGTGGAATTACTGAAATAAATGAACTTTTTCATGATATTCTAATTTTATGACCAGCACCTGTACATTTACAAACAATTGATTTATGGAGTTATCCCCATTGAAGTTGATTTCCACAGCTTTGTCAAACACAAATATATCTTTCTTACTTTTGGAAATATTGAGATAACATTTGGTGTGGTAAAAATTGAGAGTCATCGTGAATCGTACATAAACTGAGTTCAAACAGTATACTGGAGATCTTTGTTTAAAACTTGGGCCTGCAAGGGGGCAGTCAAGATGCTAGTTTTACTTGATTAGAACATTGTCAAAATGCAAGTTTTTAGTTTTTATGTCATAAAATGTATACACACATTTAGAATATACAGATTTTGTTGTCTCTAAGGCCATAATAAACTCTGCTCCAACACAATCAGTCAAATATATAAATATATAAAAAAAAAATCCCAGGAACTGAAATAAAGTAGACTTCAGAGTGAGCTGCAAGGGGAGGCCCTGGCTTTGGTTTTAGATGTGCTTACAGAGATCAGTTTGGTCTGTTTGTGTGCATCACAGGTTAATTTGATTGTAAACATGTACATATCAATGCTGCCTCTCTCTTGAACAAAGAACCTTGCATGCAGACGTGCAACAAGACGGCGTGTTTATGGTCAGCCACAAACACGAGATTCTCTCTGGGACTCCATCACTCAGAAAAATGCCACCATGAAACGAGCAACATGCAACTTGATCTGTGCAAGTTCTGCAGAAAAACTCACAGACAGATGCACGTTCAGAGGTGGCGTCGGGTGTCGTGCAGGCAGGAAGTGGAGATCAGAGATATTGAACAAGGAGACGAAGGAGACACCGCTGTCGATACTCGGTCCTGAAGAAGAGAAGCAGAGCAGACAACAACTCGGTCCTGATGCTGTCTAGGTTTTAGTCTGGAAATGCCTACTTGTCTTATCTGCACACACAAAATCATATTTTACCACTCAGAGGCATTTTCAGACAGAATATCAATATATTGACCATTACTGGTAATCCTGACCCCAATTAAATAAATAGTCACAAATATTTAATGCCTTTAAATCTTGATAGTTTATTCATCTCTCTCTCACACACACACACACACACGCCCACACACGCACGCACGCACGCACGCGCGCACGCACGCACGCACGCACACACACACATTTGTTTTTCTAGCTTTACAGGGACTTTGCATTCATTTCTATAGCCAAACCCTGACTTTTACACTAAACCTAACCATTACCAGTACATATCTTACCCTAACCATTACCAGTACATATCTAACCCTAACCATTACCAGTACATATCTAACCATAAACCTAACCATTACCAGTACATGTCTAACCCAAAACCTAACCATTACCAGTACATATCTAACCCTAAACCTAACCATTACCAGTACACGTCTAAACCTAACCATTACCAGTACATGTCTAACCCTAAACCTAACCATTACCAGTACATATCTAACCCTAAACCTAACCATTACCAGTACATATCTAACCCTAAACCTAACCATTACCAGTACATAACTAAACCTAAATCCAACCCATCCTCAATTCACACCTTAGTCATAAACCTAACCCCTAACCCACCAACGGCACTTCTTCTTATGGGGCCCGGGCTTTGGGCCTCATTGTGAGGGTCCTCACTATGTAGTATGTGTTGGAAAAATGGGCCTTACAAGGTAACATAAACACACACGTATGCATGTGTGATGCTCCCCATCAGTTACAATTTCCAGGTTAATTTTATTAAATTGAAAAGGCACGACTTTGCATTGTTCAGTAGCTCAACTAAGAGCTACTGTGTGTGTGTTCTGTATGAAAACCTAAATACATGCTTTTTTAAGTTCTGTGTTGTTGCTGTTCAAGCAGAACTATTGTTGCACTGTTGTTGAAACCTAATCTGATGTTTTCGGCCTTAGAAATGAAGCGTCAGCCATCTAGAAGTTGATGTACAGA